CGACGCAGAATCTAAGTGTGTTGTCTTTCTTCTTAACGAGCACTACGGGAGACGCCCATGGACTATTCGAAGGCTGGATGACATCATCAGAAAGCATCTCCTCCACTTGCTTCTTGATAATTTCCCGTTCTTTCTGTGACACCCGATATGGATGCTGGCATATAGGCCTCGTGTCGTCTTGCGTTATAATTCTGTGTTTCGTGATTGACGTGCGCTGGACCTTCGAGGTACTTGAAAAGCAATCAGAGAATTCTTTTACCAAGGCGTAAATCTGTTTCTTCTGACTGTCCGGAAGGCTCTGATTGACGGTCACGGATGTGTCGATGTTGCAGGCCACTGGTCGAGTGGTTGATGTCGTTGAGCTGCATAGTTCAGTCGAAAACGACACGCTGGACCTACGCAGGTTAATTACGGCGCCATTAGCTCGCAAAAAATCCATTCCTATAATGAGTTCTCTTGAACATTCTGGCAGCACAATGAAATCGGCTACGTAAATAAAGCCCCGTATTTCAAGTCTTGTAGTGCATCTGCCAAGGGGCGTAATAATGTGACCGCCTGCCGTGCGTATCTGCGATCCACTCCACTGTGTCACAACTTTGTTTAGCTTTTTCACCATCTTGTGACTTATCACTGAATAATCAGCACCGGTGTCGACTAAGGCATTCAGCTCCCATCCTTCCATTCTCAACCGCAAATCTGAAGTAACGTTTTCGTTGCTGCACCCATCTACCGGAAATACACCATCATCACCCTCAAACCAAATTGGAGGATCTTCGTAACTGACGTTATCAGCGGCCTCACCTCCACAGGTCGCTTGCTTCAGTTTTCCTGGTGTGGACTTGGAGAGCGATGACCAGGCTGCCTTGAAGGTGTACGTGGGCTGGATGACCGGTAGCGCATAGGCGATGGTGACCGTGACCGGTGTTGGCGTAGAGTTGGCGAGTTCTGGCGCGTCGACAAGTACTCCTCAATCTCCGCTGGTCGTTCGCCGTTTCGGGGGCACGGTGCATATGATGGGAAGCCTCTTAATCCAGCCTGTCGGTAAGGACAGAATCTGTACAGATGACCGCTTCCCCACAATGAAAACACAGAGGCCTGCGCTCGTGATCACGCCAGACGTCACTTTTCCTGGGCCTACGCTCCACATAGTGATGTGTGCTACGTGCTCCTGGGGGCAGATAGGTAGCTGTCGGTTCCCGTGGACGAGGTGCGCTGTGTGCCGCAGGTGGGAGAGGAGTCGTTGCCATCCCAACTGCTGCATTGCTGTGTACCGTGGGTTGTCTGACAACCTCAGAGTATGTTCGGATAGGTCGAACCAGCTGCAGCTCACGCTCTGGCTCTCGTATCACCTGCCTCAGTTCGTCATGAACAACGTCCGTAACAGATAGTGCAGTTGAAGTCTGGGGCATATGCAGTCTGCTCAGTTCTTCTCTCATAACTGATCTAATTAGCTCTCGCAGGGCTTCAACGTCGTTTCGCACGCCTCCGGGGAATACCTGTGCAGATGCGCAGTTAAGATTCCGGTTGTACTGCCGAGCCCGCTGTTCCAGTGTTTTTTCGATGGCCGTCGCTTCCGAGTAAAACTCGGCAACCGTGCTCGGAGGGTTGCGGACGAGAACGGCGAACAGCTCTTGCTTCACTCCGCGCATTAGATGGCGCACCTTCTTATCCTCAGCCATGTTGTAATCCGCACGCTTGAACAGGCGGACCATGTCCTCAATGTACATAGCAGCACTCTCGTTCGTTAGCTGGTTCCTCGATTGAAGAGCTGCCTCCGCCTTTTCTTTCCGGTCTATGTTCGCGAACGTAGCCACCGCTTGTCGTCGAAATACCTCCCAGGTAGACAACGAGGTTTCATGGTTCTCAAACCATGTCTTCGCGAAGTCTTCCAGGGCGAAGTATACGCGACGGAGCTTCTCTCTTTCGTCCCATCCATTCAAGCTCGCTACTCTCTCGAACAGGTCCAACCAATATTCAACATCCTCGTACGAGTCGCCGTGGAAAACTGGCGGCTGGTGCGGTTGGCTAATGAACACTTGTGCCGGTGTTACCTGGCTAGTCATAGTGGTGGCATCCATCGTTTGAATTCCCCTTGGTGTGAAGTGAAGAGGACCGAACTCAGGTGAGTCACCTCGAAGACGGCGACTTGCCCTCTGGTGTACAGGAGTCGCTTCCACGGGGTTGATACGCTGGTCGTCGGGGCTACGCTGTCTTGAGCTCGCGGGGCTTCGGTTCATACCCCGCACCTCCACCAGAAATGTAGCGACGCTGACGCCGACAGGTTAAAAAAACAAGCGTCTTTATTAGGGCGAACTTGTGCCCACGATTCTAAAAACTATGGTCGTCAAGTTCGAATAGCCGAGTGGCACAGATCCGACTATCTTCCTCTTCCTCGTTGTTGAACGTCCGAACGCGTGGCGCATGCCAGCCGAGCCGGGTCTTGCTGGTGCTGGTGCCACGATGATTGTGGCGGGCTACTTGAATGTGGCGAACCTGTCGCAGCAATATATATATATATATATATATATATATATATATATATATATATATATATATATATATATATATATATAAATATATATATATATATATATATATATATATATATATATATATATATATATATATATATATATATATATATATATATATATATATATATATATATATATATAAAGCGGGTGTTTTCTACGCCTCAATAAAACGACAAGGTTTCCACCTACCAACCGATTTTCTCGCGCGGAACGGTCGAATAAGCGTTCTATCCTTCCTCACCAGACAGAATTCTGTCGTCTTTCGATGACCTTTGCCAGCGAAACACTCAGATACGCGGGCGATATTTTATGGAGTGATAGACACAACGTATATTTTCACAAAGCATGCTACATACGTGCTGCAAATACGGGAGACTTCGACAAACCAGTGCCTGTGTCCTTAAGGTAAGTGTAACCAGCCGTTATAGAACGCATGTACGTTAGAAAGGCTATAGACTTTATGCATTACTGTTGAAGTGAGCCTATACGGAAGAGATATCACTGTGCCCACTGAAGCATCTAAATGCTTTTTGAACAAGACCAGAATCCTTAATGGCGCATGAGCGCAAATTATACAGCTGCTTTGGCTTGTACATCAAGGGAATAAAAAAGTCTACGCATTTCCCGAAATGAATGATCAGGAGTGAGGAGGCTAGGTCCTAAAGTGCATAATGGCTATGTTGAAACCACCGACTAGTATAAAGGACGAACATATTAATGAACAGATTAACGTACAGGTGAACGGATGGACGCATGGACGGATAAACAGACAGACAGACGGCCTAACTTTTTGTGTAATCATTGCACGTTCGGAACAGCAGTGAGGTACTTTTTTGTTATAATGCATTCTTTAGGGACACGAGTACGTCGGATCTTTGACAACGACGAGAAGCCTTCTTGAAGTGCAGGAGGAGAGCTTTGAGCTGGTCTTGCTTGTATATATACTTCGCAAGGCTGGAATTGCACTGACATATGGCTGGCAATCTCGATTCTTCAAAGCAGGTCCGGCAGCATCGAAGAGAGCGATAGCATTGCTGGCTTCCACGAAATCATCCACGCCCTGCCGCGGTGGTCTAGTGGCTAAGGTACTCGGCTACTGACCCGCAGGGCGCGGGTTCAAATCCCGGCTGCGGCTGCTGCATTTCCGATGGAGGCGGAAATGTTGTAGGCCCGTGTGCTCAGATTTGGGTGCACGTTAAAGAACCCCAGGTGGTCGAAATTTCCGGAGCCCTCCACTACGGCGTCTCTCATAATCATATGGTGGCTTTGGGACGTTAAACCACACATATCAATCAATCAATTAACGAAATCATCCACGTAGGTGACTATCGTACAGACGTTCACGCAGCCGTATCGTGGCTCAAGTTCGTTAGCATTGCCCTTGCTTTACCATCCTTGCAGTTAGGCTATGACACTTGCGACGCAGATCTGGCTGTTAAGAAGCAAGTGCTGACCACCGTCCATGACGCTTTCCAAGTATGTGAGTTATTCGGTGCTGATGGATCAAGGCATGGTGACCAATGGTTCTATCCAGCGCGACGGTATTGCCTGCGCAGAGCGTTATCAGTAGGGCTGGCAGGTCAATGACTACGCCGTGATGATTTAGGCCACGCCGGAGAAATCGGTGCACGTTATTCGGGAGCGAAGCAAAGGATGAAGATGACTGAGGTGAGGCCGAGGATGAAAAAAGTGCGGGCCGGTTCATGATAACGATTATTTCTGTTTGACTACTCAGCTTTTTTTTGAAACCCTTGGGTAGGACAGGGAGGAAAGAAAGATTCTGAGATATGCATGTTACAAGTGCTTTCTATTTTTGGTTTCAGCATATTATCTCCTGTTATAATTCAGGGGAAAAGAAGCACTGAACTGGTCACATGTACGTCTACGCTATTATATTACACACTTTGCCTTATTGTGGCGACTTGTGTTAGCATGTATTATTTCTATAGTCGGCGCTGCACACTGTGACACAAAGTGTAACACAAAAACTGCAACACCTGCAGGGTGCCAGACTCAGTCAAGCTGCAGCTGGGCAGTTTTAACCCGCCACCCTTTTTCGCCTTGCTTAGATGAAATAAAGTTTGGCTTGATTAGAGTTTGATTTGTTTTCAGTTTTTTTATGGCAAACCTGCACGATGACATACTACTTTTGCCGAACGTGATCTAAGCGTGTTCACATGTTTCTTGCAAGTGCCATAATATGTTCGCGACAGCCTACTTTTTTTTCGTTCTTCTTTCCTGTGCTGTGGCGCCACTGGAAAAATAAAACGATTCTTGGGCACAATCTTGCCTTGATTTTAACACAAGTGAAGGTCATAGAGCGGGGACCATTCTTTTTTATTAAGGCATGTCAACCTGCGTCACATGGTTCCTTCCGCACAAGTTCAAAGTTCAGCAAATAACACTAACGAAAGCGCGTGGAGAAAGAAGATAGTGTGCATGCTCAAGGCACTCGTTATCGCTCACCCAGGTTTCGGTAGTGAGATTGCGTAAGTTGCAGTCATGGTCTCTGGATTAATATCCACTCGCGTTGATGTCATACACTCGAACACGGTATCGTTGTCCGAGTCTGAGATCGCCAGTGCGTGCTCAAACTTTTCCATTGTCTATAATACAGGCAAAGGAACCATTAAATATACTTGAAAAGCAAAAAAGAAGCGGCAAATTTGACCTCGTTGTCAAGTAAAGCGTGAAGAAACACGCAGACAGAGGGCTACTGCGACAAAGTGCCAATTTTAGCAAGTGGATTCACTGGCAACTGAAATGAATATAGAGTGCAATAGAATTTGATCATCATGATTGGGGCCAGAGACGAGAGCATTAACATGTTAGCAACACCATGGTCAATAATACACAACGTCAAAAAAGTGTGAAAATGCAGCATCTGTGTTTAAATTGAAAACGCGAACTATTAAGACAGTGCGACAGGCAGCACAAATGCTGTAAGGGCTATTAGACAAGAATAGTATGACTGGTGGGCATAAGGTAACGGCGTAGAGGGGCTGAATAAATGTGGGAAAAGTAGTTAGACATATACCATATTTGTGATGGGTTGTTTATCGAGTAATTTGAAAAAGTAGAAAAAAAAAACAATGAACTGAGGCACAAGTCATTAGCAAGAAGCGACTAGATTGCGATTTGCCGCCATTTAAGGCTTTAGACGTTATGTCGTCAGAGACTGGAGCACTGGAAGGTTTAAAGAATTCAATTAGGTTCGTGGTTCTTTCAGTATTTATAAGAACGTCCGACTTTGGGGAATAGATATAACTGTCCACGCAGAGATACCATGAGAGAAAGAGTGGGCTATGATACAATGTTCTATCATGAAAATATATGTTCGACGCTATATATACATTAACACTTGAACAAGGATCCGTATAATGAACTTTGAATTCCCCGCCGCTGCACCATTGCATCCAATGCTGATTTGATTGATATGTAGGGGTTTAACGTCCCAAAACCATCATATGATTATAAGAGCCACCGTAGTGGAGGGCTTCGGAAATTTTGACCACCTGAGGTTCATTAACGTGCGCCCAAATCTGAGCACACGGGCCTACAACATTTCCCCCTCCATTGGAAATGCAGCCATCGCAACCGGGATTCAATCCCGCGACCTGCGGGTCAGCAGCCGAGTACCTTAGCCACTAGACCACCGTGGCGGGGCATGCATCCAATGCTAATACTAACGCATTTTAGTGTAACGAAATGTAGAAAAAAAGTTAAAGTGGTCAGACGGGGCTACGCATCACTCCGGTTTTGCTACATTGAGAACTCCGAGAACTCTTAACCTTGAGCTGCTGTGAACTGTGCCAAGATGCTCAATCACATGGTGCGTCGTCCTTGGCGGGATCCTTATTCGACGCCTCATCAATCGTCCGATTTTGTAAGGCTAGGCTTCGCGCACAGGCAAGCGTGGCGGGCACTGCGACGCGCCAACGCGTTGCATTGTGCAGCTGTAGCGACAAGCCAGCCTACTTGTTCCAAAGTGTCTCGTGTTGCCACAACGAAGTCACCTCGGAAGGGGGATCAGGTAACCTGTCATGGCCCTGAAGAAGTTAAGTTTAGTGCTAACAGCTTGGAAGTCAGCCCATTGATTTCGCTAGCGACCTCTGCCAAGAGACCCAATGATGGTACCAGTCATGGATCGCCTGCTTCTGAGACGGTGTCTAAGGGGCGTCTGATGCGTCGTTTTTCTCAGTGCCAAAAGGACCGCGCCAAATGCACACAATTTTGGATCCGAAGTAAACACTCCTGAACCTAACTCAAAGTCATCCTACAAGGTCTTCATCAAGACTCCTTGTAAATGCGACATGTCAACCCTTCCCAACCGTATCGTTCAAGCTGCTCTTGACACCTGCGTCAAGACTTCCAAATTTCAAGGTATAACCCCCCCCCCCCCTCAAAGCTACCAATACGGTGTTCGTATGAGTTCCTGCTGTGTCCTTTGGGGAGATGCCTAAAAATCTGCGCCATATACAGGTAACTTAGGATCAGTGCGACTATGGTACCTCGACAGTCGCACTGATCTAAGGCGCTATGTTATTAATGGCGTTCACCCCCTTGAAGATCCTGAAACGATCTTGTGGGAATTGTCGTGTTCTACACATCAGGTCATGGCTGCCCGTTACATGGGCAGTGGTCCCTACGGGGTATCACTCTTCCGAGATCCTCGATTCGCTACAGAACTTCTATTCTATGTTCTTCTATTATATGTTACACTTGTGTTCTGCGCCTTCGTTCATTTAGGCCATCTGTTGTGTAGTGTTAGTCCTGGTTCAAACAAGGCCTTATGAAACAACCCTCCCCTCACCGTTGTGAGGATGACACCAAGCAACGCGAAGCATCAGCACTGGATGTTGTCTACGACGTACAAATGATCTTGATGTGACCTCTGCCTCATGTCCTACCAAGCAAAAAGACACTAAGAAAGCTCGCCAACTTTGGCCTCGACGACCAGTGAGGAATCCACAGTATCCATTGATGAACTCGGTTAAAATACACCGCTGCTACGATATTTATGCCTTGCTAGACAGCGACGATATGTTGATACTCACGTGGCACCCGGAACCACGCCACATAATTCTGCCATGTCTAGTTAAAATGACAGTGGTTTGGTCGTCAGGTTCGCGACACCGGCATACTCCTGCAGTGTTGTAAGACGAGGAGCTTTCCTTGGCAATCAAAGAATACAAAGATTCTCACTTTGCCAGCCTCAAAAAAGAAATTGGGCGTCTCAAGCAACACCGTGCATCGCTCCAGTGTCAGTGAGACGGTACGTACTCTCTGCATTCGTATACACCATAAGCGGGAAATCTTGTACCCACAGCACAAACTTCTGTCTCAACACCCAAGTAGAAATCTCTTTTGCCCCAATATCTGCTGCGCATCGGTTCCACAGCAGCTAGCACCTGACCGGCAGGAGCTTTTGCTCAAGCATGCGTTTGCCGAGTGGTGTCACCATGGATCCCATAGCCAATGGGGTGTGTCGACCCCCTCCAAAGTGTAGTCGTGCGTGCAATTGCCGTGCCCTGGATCCTGGAGATGGCCGACGCCAGGTGTCCGTACCTTTAAGGCCCCCGAAAAGGTGACACATCCCTTTGGCCCCGGCGTCGCGTAGACGGCACCCTAGGGCTGACTCATTCAGACAAAATTGACAGTCGTCTTTTCCTGCTGTAAGGAAAGGACACAAAAGTGCTGTGTTTAGGTACGATTTGTGGCTAAAAGGACTTAAAAGCGCCGAGGAAACGTCAAACCAAAACTGAAGAAGACGAGCGGAGGGCAGGTGGCACGAAGGCGATAACAAGAAATGAAAAAGAAGAGGCCAAGAAGAAGGAACGTGCGAAAGGGAGCTCGAGGGTTGAGGCCACGAAGGCAGACGAAGCAGTGCGCCGCTCGAGAGGACGAGTTCCTGGGAGCGTTCCTGAGCCGGACGTGGGACCCGTACGTGTCGGCCAGGTCGAGCTCCGGTGTGTCCGGTCGAGGTCGAGTCCGTCGGCGTGTACAAGGTCCAAGGACGGGGCCTGCTGAACGGCTCCTGCCTGGGTGCAGTGGCCGGGAGCAGGTTCGTGGGTGAGGCCTACCGGGCGTGGTCCTCGGGAGCCGTGGCCTGACCCTGGACCTTAGGAGTTGCGACCTTGACTGCTGGGTTGGCCGTGACGTCCGAGTAAACGGCACTGCACACGGTAGCGCATCCGTGTGCCGTCAGCCGTTCCAGCCGTGCCACCTTTGCCATCGCGCACGTCGATGACCGCATCATGTCGGGACGACGAGGACCCAAACTGTGAGGCAGTGGTTTCTGTTTGCGAACCGGGAACTATACGCGCTGGACACTTGAGTAAGCGTAGCTGCGAGCTCTCCGCATAATAGACATCTGACTCTCGTGCAGGTGGCGTGATGCTTGGCGTGTAGGGTTGTATATATAGTTTTATTTTCACCTGCCATTTCCTCTCTAGTGTGCAATATAAAGCTTCTTTTGTTCGCATCAACTGTTGATGTTAACCCTTTTTAGTCTTTTCCTCTAGCGAGATTCACAATTCCCTGAGCTTCCAAATATTGATCAGCCGTCGTTGCCAACGTGTCCAGGTTATGACATCCTCGCTCCTTCAGGAAGACAGCCAACTTCTCGTCGCACCGCCTGAGGAATTGCTCGGACACCATCTTGTCTCGCAGTGCATATGTTTTGGGAGTCTTCGCCAGCTCCTGCCAATGGTCGAAGTATCCACAGAGACGTCGCGCGAACTGTCGACGTGTCTCAGTATTCTCGGGCCGGGCATGCCCTAAACTTCGTGCGGTATCCCTCCTCTGTAGAACGGAACCGCTGGAGGAGCGCCTGCTTGAGCTTTGCGTAGTCCGTAGAGTCTTCTGCAGACATCCGTCCTACCACGGTCAAGGCTTCTCCCGTTAGACACAAGCTCAGTGACAGGGCCCACTTATAGGTTGGCCAGCCTTGGCTCATGGCAACCCTCTCAAATCTCTGGATGTACGCATTCCAGTTCGTCCCTACTCTCATTGTAGGGGCGGAATCATTTTGTGTGGGCTGCGGAAACTCTGACCACCACCCATACTATCGTCCGCAGAACTCGTGCTCGGACGCTGTGCTTCTGCGACACGACGTCGCTCCTCGAGCAGGAGCCTTTCAGCCTCCATGCGAGCTATTTCATGCTCATGCTCCACCTGTGCTGCTAGCCGTGCCTCCTCTCGATCTTTCGCTCTCTGGTCGCTGATTTATTTTTCCTCAGCACTCACCCATGCCAGCATAGCCTCACCACTCAACCCCATCTCCTTCCCTAGCTCAACTAGCTTTCTCTTGTCGTCCATCCTCGTCCGCCACACACAAACAACATGATGCTCTCAGATGTAAGGCGAGAGCTTAGTCCTGTCTCGCGGACTCCAGAAATTGTGATGGTTAAGGGACGTTCGTCACTATGCTTGTCGATAGCGGACGAAAAAGGGTTAACATCAACAATTGATGCGAACAAAAGAAGCTTTATATTGCACACTAGAGAGGAAATGGCAGGTGAAAATAAAACTATATATACAACCCTACACGCCAAGCATCACGCCACCTGCACGAGAGTCAGACCTCTATTATGCGGAGAGCTCG